CGTTGACGCCCATTGAAGCTCGTGAAACCTCTAGTCGTCCTGCCTCTATTCGGGAGGACGCCTCTATTCGGCTCGTGGCGCCTCTATTCGGCCCTACGAATTGCGACGCAACTGGTGGGGTAGCGACCCTAAAAGCGCCCATTCGGCCTGAACTCTTTATTCCCTTGACGCCCATTGAAGCCTGTGAAGCCTCTATTCCGTCTGAAGCCTCTATTCCCCTGGCGCCCGGTGGAGCTCGTGAAGCCTCTATTCGGCCTGAAGCCTTTTATTCCCTTGGCGCCCGGTGAAGCTCGTGACGCCTCTATTCGGCCTGAACCATTTATTCCCTTGACGCCCGTTGAAGCTCGTGAAGCCTCTACTCGGCCTGAAGACTATATTCCCATGTCGCCCGGTGAAGCTCGTGAAGTTTCTATTCGGCCTGAAGTCTAACCTCTAGTCTGTCTGAAACCTCTATTTCCCTGACGCCCATTGAAGCTCGTTATTCGGCCTGAAGCCTCTACTCCCCTGACGTCTGGTGAAGCTCGTGAAGCCTTTATACGGCCTGAAGCCTCTATTCCCCTGGCGCCCGGTGAAGCTCATGACGCCTCTATTCGGCCTGAAGCCTCTATTCCCTTGACGCCCGAAGAAGCTCGTGAAACCTTTATTCGGCCTGAAGCCACTTTTCCCCTTGCGCCCGGTGAAGCTTGTGAAGCCTCTATTCGGCCTGAAGCCTCATCCTCGACGCCCGATGAACCTTGCGAAGCCTCTATTCGGCCTGAAGTCTCTATTTCCTGACGCCCGGCGAAGCTCATGACCCTTCGCAAGGTTCGTGCCCCAGGGGAGGGCAAATCTATAAGCGATTACGTAAAATGCGAAAGGTTCGTGCCCCTCGAAGGGGATCCTGCCCCAGGAGAGGGCCAATCACGCTAAGGATTCGCCCCGCATGATACGACCACTCTATCAGCGCGCACGCGAAGCACGAAATATTCGCGCCCTAAAACACTAAGAGGATTCGTGTTCCAAGAGAAGGCCGATCTATTGGCACATACGTTAACACGAAAGGATTCGTGCCCCAGGGGAACGCCAATCTATATGCACACACGTAAGACACGAAGGGTTCGTGCTCCAGGAGAGGGCGAATCGATATGCGCATGCGTAAAGCACGAAGGGTCCGTGCCCCAGGAGGGGGCAAATCCATAGGCGCATACGTAAAACACGCAGGGCCCCGTGCCCCAGGGGAAGGCAAATCTATAAGCAAACGCGTAAAACACGAAAGATTCGGGCCCCTGGAAAGGGCCGATCTAAAGGTACACGCGCGAAACACAAAGGACTCGTGCCCCAGGAGAGGGCCAACCTATACGCACATGTGTAAAACACACAGGATTCGCACCCCAGAAGAAGGCAAATCTCTACGCATCACGTAACACGCTGAGGATTCGCGTTCTATGACACGGCCAATCTATAGGCACATGCGCGAAACACAATGGACTCGCGCCCCAAGAGAAGGCCAATATATTGGCACATTCGTTTAACACAAAGGATTCGCGCCCCAGGAGAGGGCCAAGACAGCTCCAGAGGGCACCGGGAGGGGCTAAGACAGCCCCAGAACGCACCAGGAGGCCTCAGGAAGCCCCTGGGGCCTCCGGGGGCTCACCGGGCTTTCTTTTTGAAATGATTCTTTTTTAATGAACTTGAGGAAGGCTCTTGCCTATCAGAAGGTGCCGCGCAGCAAAGGGGCCTGTCTAGCACCAACTATTTTTTTTTTATCAACTTGGCGAGAGGTCTTGCCTAGCATAGGGTGCCGCACAGCAAAATGCATGTCTAGCACCAGGGACTCTGTTTAAATTAACTTGGGGAAGGGTCTTGCCTAGCACAAGGTGCCGCGCAGCAAAAGGGCTAACCTTGGAGAGGGCGTCGCACAGCAAAGGGGCACATCTAGCACCAATGACTCTTTTTTCATCAACTTGGGGAGGGGCCTTGCCTAGCAAAGGCGCCGCACAACAGGTGGGGCACGCCAAACACCAAGGGTTCTGTTTAATTCAACTTGGGAAGGGCTCTTGCCTATCAGAGGGTGCCGCACAGCAAAGGGGCACGTCCAGCACCAAGGATTCTTTTTAAATCAACTTGGCGAGGGGCCTGGCCTAGCATAGGGTGCCGCACAGCAAAATGCATGTCTAGCACCAGGGATTATGTTTAAATTGCCTTGGGGAAGGGTCTTGCCTAGCACAAGGTGCCTCGCAGCAAAGGGGCTCACCTTGGAGAGGGCGCCGCACAGCAAAGGGCACATGTAGCACCAAGGACTCTTTGTCCATCAACTTGGGGAGGGGTCTTGCCTAGCAAAAGGTGCCGCACAACAGATGGGGCACGCCTAGCACCAAGGATTCTTTTTAAAATCAACTTTGGGAGGGCCATTGCCTAACAAACGGTGCCATACAGCAAATGGGGCACGTCTAGCACCAATGATTTTTTAAAATCAACTTGGGGAGGGGCCCTGCCTAGCAGAAGGCGCCGCTCAGCAGATGAGGCACGTCAAGCACCAAGGATTTGTTTTAACAATTGGGGAGGGCCACTGCCCAAGAAAGGGCGCCACACAGCACGTGGGGCACGTCAAGGATTCTTTGTTTTATCAACTTGGGGGGGTGTCTTGCCTAGCAAAAGGTGCCGCGCAGCAGATGGGGCACGCCTAGCACCAAGGATCATTGTCAACATCAATTTGGGGAGGGCCATTGCCTAGCAGAAGGTGCCACACAGCAGATGGGGCACGTCTAGCACCAAGGATTCATTTCTAATCAAGTTGGGGGTGGGTCTTGCCTAGCAGAGGGCGCCGCACAGCAAAGGGGCACATCTAGCACCAATGCTTCTTTTTAACCAACTTGGGGAGGGGTCTTACCTAGCAGAGGGCGCCGTGCAGCACATGGGGCACGTCTAACATCAAGGGTTTGTTTTATCAGCTTGGGGGCGGGCCCTGCCTGGCAGAGGGTGCCGCACAACAAATGGGGCACGTCAAGCACCAAGGGTTCTCTTTTAATCAACATGGGGAGGGGTCCCCCGGCAGGGGTCTTGCCCAAAAGATGGCGTTGCACAGCAGATGGGGCATGTCTAGCGATTCTGTTTAAATCAACTTGGGGATGGGGTCTTGCCTAGCAGAGGGCGTTGCACAGCAGATGGGGCACGCGTTGTGTTAGGCTTGGAAAGCGCGGAGTAAAATGGCACTTTCAAATCACAGTTGGGAGGGCAGCGCGTTGAATACTGCGCATGCATTTTCACAAGGAGTAGCGTCTTCACCAGGAATAGCGTCTTCACCGGGAATATAGCGTCTTCACCGAAAATAGCGTCCTCACCGGGAATAGCGCCTTCACCCGGAACAACGTTTTCACCCAAAATAGCGTCTACACCCGGAATAGCGTCTTCACAAGGAATAGCGTCTTTACCGGGAATAGCGTCTTCACCGGAAAAGCGTTTTCACAAGGAATAACGTCCTCACCCGGAATAGAGTCTTCACCGGGAATAACGTCTTCACCCGGAATAGCGTCTTTACCGAAAATAGCGTCTACACCCGGAATAGCGTCTTCACAAGGAATAGCATCTTCACACGGAATACCGCCTTCACCGGCAATAGCGTCTTCACCCGGAATAGACTCTTCGACCGGGATAGCGTCTTCAACGCGAATAACCTCTTGACCCGGAATAGCGTCTTCATCGGGAATGGCGCATTCAAACGGAATAGCGTCTTCACGTAGAATAGCGTCTTCACCGGGAATAGCGTTTTCACCGGGAATAGCGTCTTCACCGGGAATGGCGTCTTCACCGGGAATAGCGTCTTCACCCGGAATAGCGTCTTTACCCAGAATAGCGTCTTTACACACAAAAAAAAAATCCACCTGGAATAGCGTCTTCACCGGGAATAGCGTCTTCACCCGGAATGGCGTCTTCACCCGGAACAGCGTCTTCACAAGGAATAGCGTCTTCACCCGGAATAGCGACGTCACAGCGAATAGCGTCTTCACTAGGACTCTCGTTTTCACCCGGAGTAGAGTTCATAAGGGAAGTGCTGTCTGTGTCCGCAGAACGTTTCTTCACCAGGAACAGAGTCTTCACCCAGAATGGCGTCTTCACCCGGAATAGCGCCTTCACCGTCTTCACCAGGAATAGCGTCTTCACCTGGAATAGCGTCTTCACCGTCTTCACCGGGAATAGCGCGTTCACTAGGGATAGCGTCTTCACAGGGACGCGTCGTCACCCAGAATAGCGTCTTCAAATAGCGTCTTCGGCGCCGGCGCGAACTGGGAACCCCGTTTGCCGGGACAATGTGTATATGTATATATACACTGTTTTCTCCTCGGCGCGGGGGCGACCCCTCGCCCGCGCCAACATCTCAGCGCCCAAACGTCGGCAAAACAGATGCTACATTTGAACATAACACCATGCTCATGAGAGAGAGAGGACACTGGATATTCTCACAGAGTGTCTACACCCCCTCGCAGGGGACTCTCCTCTCTCGAAAACAGTGCGCCTGAAACCCCACTCGACGTGAGCGGAATAGCCGTCGGGCTCAAGGCTCAAATCTTCACCAACTTCTCACTGCAACTTCTTGGAACACTCCTTGCACGTGCGCCGCTGCTTCAAGCGGCGCCCAGCGTGATGCGCGCCCTGAAGACGATACTTGCAGTTGTTCTACAAGTGCACCACTCGATCATCGTCGCCCAGATGGTTTATGAAGTGTGCACCCTGCACGCTCTGCATGCTCACCTCGTTCCCGTTGTCGTTCGCCCTCAGCGAGAGGGGGGGCCGCTTCGCGCCCTCTCGAGCATCAGCACCCTGCCGCGCGGCCCATCACGAACATTACGAGCCAGGAGAGTAGTATCATTATGGGCAGGGCCATCATGCCGCACTCCATCGTCTCGGCGCATCTTTCCTGCTGCGTCCGAGTAGAAAAGCATAGCGCCAATATTGCCGCATTGAGGGTCGGGCTGCTCGGAACCCCCCCACTAAACTGCGCGCCGCGGGCAGCCCGCCCAAGCCTCTCAATCGCCGCGTTCTCCTCGACCTCACGAACTGCCCCGAAGTCGCCGCTCAAGCGACGTGGCCCCGCCTGCTTGCACAGCTGTTCGCGCGCGTCGGCCGCGCGTGACTTCGCTCCGATGTCAACTGGATTCTCGCTCCCTTTGCACTTCGGGACCTTCCACCCCGGCAGGCGCGTCGCGTGCTGCGCCCACAGAGCTCTCGTGTCCAGATGGCGGACCTCCCCGGCTCCCTGTTTTAAGGAAATCGACCGAGCCGCTGAAGAGTCGGTCTCCAAGCTCCACTCGACACGAACCCCGAACCAGGTGAAGAGGTCCCTCGCCATCTTGCCGTCCATCGACACTGTGCTCAGTGCGTAGAACTCGCTCTCACCCGAACTCACAGCTATCAAGCCCTGCCTCCGAACCAGCGTCGCCAACGCCACCCCTTCCGCACACGGAACCCAACAGGTAGTGCTCTTGCGTTTTGCCTTCTTTCCGCCATGATCACTGTCCGAGAAGGTCCTCGGATGGATCGCGCCCTTCTTGTAGATCTTCGCGTCGACCTTCGGGAGGAACGCGCCCAGCTCGTTGGCGCCGACCAAATAGCGCCCATGCCGCATCGGCCTCTTCCAGAAGTGCGCAGTCGGGTTCGCCAGGTCAGCAGCCAGCATTCCCACTGCCCGCTGGATGTCCGCGCGATCCTGTGCCAAGTAGAGCCCCCTCCCCACGCGTGAACGATGCCTCGAAATCTGCTTGTCGACCAGGGGTGGGGAGTGCTCGAGGATCTCTTCCGGCCCCATGTCTGGAGCCTTGACCGCTTTCGCACCTTTCAGCCCCAACTCGGAGATGATGCTCATGCTGCGCTTCTCCTGCGGCTGAAAGAAGATGCCCTCGTCGGTCCTGATCCTGGTGCGCTTCAGGTACTCGAACCGGCCCTCGATGCCAACGTCGCTGTCTTTCAGCTTCTGCTTCGTCCTGACCATGTGTAGCTCCAGACCGAGCCTGGTCATCGGCTTGCGGTAGGACTTCGAGCTGGCGTCGTTCAGCTCAAGCCCACAATCCAGGGGGTGGCCAGCAGCATAGCCGACGCACTCACGACCCGCCGCCCTTCTGCCAGGAACCTGCTTCTCCAACTTCCAGACGACGTACGCGGAAAGGCCTGC